TATTAAAGAAGATGAATCCTACTGTAATTAATATCAAGATGTTAACTAATTGTCATCTTAGCAACACTCCCCAACATTAATATAGAGGAAGAAAATACTACTATAACTAATGTCAAGATGTTAGCTAATTGTCATCTTAGCATCACTCTCCAACATTAATATAGAGATAGTATTAATGAAAGAACTAATAATTAATATTCAAGGGAAAAAGTTTAAGAAAATAACTCACAACTTTAATAATCAACAAACTTCAAGAGCAACACCAAGAATTGGAAGTTTAGCTCCTCATTTGGAGACTAAACATAGCTAGAAAAATATAAAGAAATGCTATTCTAAACTGAGCTTAAGAGTATGGAAGAAGGGATGATTAAAAATGAAGGAAAAGTGTGCTATTTATAAGTGTTTTCAACACCCTGGGGCGGATACCCGACCGGGTAAAGTGCCATACCCGACCGGGTATCAGTCAAAATCAAATATTTGCCACGTTCTGGTGATCTTCGCACGCCGGATTGTCCCCGGTCACTTCTCACCCGACCGGGTGAGGTAGTGGGCCCGACCGGGTCTAGTTATTTTCCAAGAAATTTCGTCTGTTAAATCAGACCCGACCGGGTGAAGTCTTCTACCCGGTCAGGTTTCAGCTCCTGGATAGTCCAATCTCCTTTTTCTTCACTTCAAAGTCATCCTTTTCAACACCATAATTCCTAATTCTACTTTACAACTTATAAATGAAGATTAAAATACAATTAAAACTAAATTCACACAAATGTTTACAAACTAAGTAAAATGGTAAACAATACACACAAATTAATCATAAAAATATACATTTATGCACTACTAATTAGTGCATATCAACAACTCGACAAATGACAATCACTTCGTCAGTTTGAGCACACTCTAACATTGTGGAAGAACTATTACAAGAAGCAAAAATAACGAAAAGCAAGATAACACTTGATCACAAATGGAGAGATTGTTGAAGATATTTTTTTTGAAAGAATGTTAAAGATATTTTTATTGTGATCAAGTTGTTAAAAATAATCTTGTTTAGTTAGCTATTTATGGTATTTTTATGTATTCAATAGAATAGCCTATTAAAAAATGAGGCCATTTATGTGTGAGGCCCAATTCCCTAGGTTTGGCCCTTTTATGGAAGGTTGTACACCTTACGCATATAAATATGCGCTTAGGAGTGCACAACCAAAGTTTTCACGCACATACAATAGCCGCACCTGAGAGTTTTCGATATTAAGTGAGATGGATTTTTTCATCTATTTAAAATCTTAAAGATCATTCTAATGAAATTCTTCTCAATCCTTATTCCATATATGTGCATCCAAATCAGTTAGATAATCTTTTGAAATAGGGACCAACGATTTGAAGCTTTATCATTAGCTTCTTTTTTATTATGGTCAACCACTTTGACTAGTAGTGAATGGTTTAGGGTTATTGCAGAGAGAGGGTATGAGAGGTAGAAAGTGCACAAGAAGAAGTTTTAGATAATTTCAATTATTTCTACTATTTTATAAAAGAAGGCATAGCTAGATAATTAATAGAGTATCCTTTTGAGGGCATTTTGATAACACTTGTTGGAAATTTTTACTTACATTCCTATAAAAGCTTTAATATTATGATGTTTTTACTTGGACTGTTTTCAGTCCCAGATCAGACCACTTAAATAGATCAGATTAGCCCAAACCAGTAAATTCCAGTTTAAGTAAAAAGGGTAATTTTCGCGTATAGGCATAAAACTTAAAATAATATCAGTTTTTTCACTTTCAATTTTTTCTTTCAAAAACAGACCAGCTAAATCTTCTCTTTCACATATAGACATGCACTCCTATGTCAACTAATAAGAAGCGAAATGCTAGTCATCTGATACATGCCAAGTAGATGAAGCATTACATGGTAGAAGTGAGGTTACGGAGTATTATATACTCGTATTCAAAAAGTTAAACCTTAGTTTTAGAAATTACTCAACATTTTGAAAAAGAAAAACTAATAAGGAGTATGTAAAATTGAATTAAAAGGTCAAAAAGGTGGAATAATTAGACAAATAACAAAATTCGAAAAACCTAAAATCATTATTATTTTTTTAAAAAAATCAAAGTTAAAAACAAAAAATTCAAAAAGTGCATAAAAAATCAAAATTAAACCTTGTGACATAAATTATAAAAAAAACATATAAAAAAATGTAAAACGTATCTAAAAGTTAAAAGTACATAACTCAAAAATAAAAATCTCAAAAAATAAAAAACAAGTCATTTGTAATCATTTGTTTTAAATATCTTATATACTTTATATAAAAATTATAACTATCAAATAATATTAAAATTGAAAGTAAACATGTAATGATATCATATTTTAAAACTATTAACATGGGTAAATGGTAATTTTTCGAAAATCTAAAAACTAAAACTTATAAACATAATATGTTAGAGCATTTAAAAAACGTAATATACACAGAGTCATGGATAAAAAATATATATATGTAGTTAATATTGAAAAAAAATGAAACCAGATTCTGTATATTAAAATAAAATAGAGAATAAAATTCTTAAATTGTTATAAAATCTAAAAATTAAAGAAACTAAAAAGTAAAAATAATGAATATATGTAAAAAATAAAAATTGAAAATGTTGAATTTTGTAATTCAAAACTTTTCAAATAGCGTTTAATTATCATTATCATTATTAGTAATATTATTATTTGAATTTTGAATGGTGCTTTTTGTTACACAGTTTCCCGGACTGTGTGTATTGTTGTTGATAACTTAGAAATTTTTGTTTCCTTTTGTTTCTCCATGTTTGTTGTTGTTGTTGTTGCTATTTTTGTGAAATTTTTTATTTCACGAAAATAGAAAAAATTGATAGAAACATAAATAACTAGAAAAAATAAAAAACGACAATAAACAACAAAAAGCAACAATAATTATTTCAATGATATTGTACTTAAACATGTGCTACTACGTCGAGAGAGCATTGATGATGTGTGTGTGTATAATGAGTGATTAATTATTCAAGGTGTAAATCAACAATAAGTAACTAATTAAGGCAATGTTGCGGCGTGTCAAATGAGTAACTGAGTGGAAACTAATCTTGTAATGGCCGATTGATAGCTAATTAGCATCATATAGGGATGTCATAACATTTTAAGCTTCAAGTGCAACTACAAATGCTTCCAAAACTGCTTCACTTGAACTGTATCAAGGCCTTCCATCTTAGTCAGAGTAGCATATCACATCCTGAAACATTACAACTATTGTTAGAGTTGCTTCAGTTGTCAACTGTGTAGTACCTTGCACCAATAAATGTAGCTAGCATATGTTTCAAAATCCAATTCCGTTACTTAAAGATAACTTGATAAATCAATAAAAAAGCAACATGATACAACTAAAAGCAACACAATGCAACAAAAGCAATACAATGCAACAAAAAACAACACATACAGTGTAACAAAAAGAAACAAAAAATAACATATCAAGTAGTACAACAAGCTAAGTATATAATTTAAGCTATTGAAGCATAATCCAGTATGTGTTTATCTAGTTTTGATTAACAAAATCTTCATATATATAAACTAGCTATGTATACTGTGTAATCTATATAATAACTATTATTCTATATAAATAGAACACATTTGAAAAGAATTTAAGGAATTAAATGATTTTTGTGTGATTACTTGTATAGTGGTGAACTGAGAGTAGCTACAATGTTCTTCATCTGCAAAAGCTCCCAAATATATTTTCTTTGACATTTTTGCATAAATGAAAAGTTATTCCTTTGAAAACTTCAAACCATTTCCATATTCTAAATTGATTCCTCTGGGAGTTCCTTACAAGGTTGAGCATTTTGATCATCTTTCAGTTTTCTAGTAATACTCATACTACAAAGCACATTTCAGAATCTGAAAAACAGTTTTAAGACCTATTAATACTTGTACTATAAATTAGATTTCAGAATTTTATAGTATAACCTTCCATAAATCAAAAGTTTAAACTGAAGCAATTGAAATGCAAACCTTCCTAACTACACAAACCGATTCAAAGCAGCTTAATGATGGTCATCCTTAAATGGAAATTCAAAAAAACATGTTGATGCAAGAGTTTATTTTCCCGCCAGAAAATAGTTTGTCATAGATTTTTTAGGTGAAAGTGATAGGAAAACACAATCTGTTGAATTGATAAGGAAGGACCGGAGATTTCAACTTATTATACACATCATCTCATGACAGGAGTAGAGGCTCCAGAACCAGAAATATTCTTACTCCAACACCACATGTTTCTATTCTATCGGAAAATAAGTTTGATACCACGATTTTAGTAATTGAAACTCCATAAACCGAGATCGGCTTATTCCAAAGTATTTATGAACATCTCTTGTAACCTTTCTAGAGACTATTCATGAAAGAGTCTTCAATACTCCCATCTAATAGATCGACAAAACAAAGGTTCAAACTGGTAGAAGAGAGCTAACCTGTCATAATTTTCCTAAGCCAGATGTTGAGTTTCGAATTGGTAGAAGAGACAGATGGAGAGGCGAAACTCAGAGGTGTTAGCAAAAGTGAAAGAATATATGTCTGAGGAGATGGAGCGGAGAAGAGAAGTGAGAGAGGAACACCGACGAAAAAGATTCAGGGTATGCGATTTAGAATTTGAGATTGTCACTCTTCATTTAGGGTAAGGTTATTTTTGAAATAAATAAAGTAAATGTGAAAAGATTAAAGATTACAAATGAAAAGTTAAAAATGTTGAGTCATAAACGATATACAATTAGAAAAAAGAGATTGAAACGGGATATTTACAAAAGTAAAAACGTCCTTAATTATAGAAAAATTCTAGAAAATGGAAAGCCCTCACGGAAGTAAAGGTGTAGCGCATGGTCCATTAACCAATACAGCTAAACCACTCACGACCTGGTCCATTAATATCAAGATCGAATAAGCCCAAAACTATATGCTCCAAAATAGTGCTAAAGTAATTGCAGCCTTAAACCCACCATGGCATAAACCTTGCAACTATGATGGAATCGGAGCTGGTGATTGCTTCGTCGTCAACAGACGCCGGCATCAGCTGCTGGGACCTGCAATCAGGGACGGAAAACATCCGCTTTCGGACGTGCTCTTCCCCTTCCCACGGCCTAGCGACCATTGGTGGACGTTTTCTGGCATCGTCTCAACTCCGTCAATCCAAATCAGCTTCAGGCTCCATCTTTTACTGGTCCTGGAACAAGGTAAGAAACAATACTAAGTCTCCGTATTGTGTATGTTCTTTCAAAATTAGCTTTATGTGTCGCCGCTTGGCTGAAATTAGTGATGTTTATAGAATTTGCAAGTGATTTAATTTTTTTCTAGCCTCAAGTAGAAGTGAAGAGCTTCCCATCCGAATCAATTAATCCTCTTGTTTCAAATGCGGATGGATCTTTTATAGCTGGAGGTGGTGCTTCAGGGTCCATTTACCTGTGGCAGGTAAACTGGAATCCTTCCCTTTCGTCTGGAGTAATACTGTAATAGAATTAGTGTTGTATTTGGTACTTATTGGGATAATCTGTGTTGAATAATTGACTTTGTAGGTTGCGACTGGGAAACTTCTCAAAAAGTGGCCTGCCCATTATAGGGGAGTTACATGCTTAGTTTTCATAGATGACCAATCACTATTGGTTTCAGCATCTGAGGATGGATGTATTCGAGTTTGGTCACTTATAATGTATATCACTCTGTTCACATTGCATGATTCACATGTAATTTTGTTTGCCAGGTGAAGTATGCTTACTAGAATTCTATGTGAGCAGGGTATTTGATGATATTATGAGGAATCGAGCTGAACGCCCCTTTGAGCATAGTTTCTCTGAACATACTCTAAAGGTGACTGATATTGTGGCTGGAAGTGGAGGGGGGAATGCATTAATAATATCTTCTTCTGAGGACAGGACCTGCAAGGTTTCAAATCCCTCTCCTATTCTCAGCCATTTGTTTGTCACTTCAAATCATGTCACAAAATTTTCTTTGTTATGTTTGTTTAAGACTTTAATGAACAGAGTAGAGATATTATTTTGATTTATTATTTGCATGTTGTTTCTTGTTCTCTTTATCAAGTTCGGTGTAAATTGCCATAGGTATGGAGCTTATCAAGAGGAATAGTGCTGAGAGATGTTGTGTTTCCTTCAATAATTGATGCCATTGCATTAGACCCTGGTGAGCATGTATTTTATGCTGGTGGTAGAGACGGAAAGATATATATTGGTGCGCTTAATGCATTGTCCCATTCAAACAGTAACTATGGGACACACATCATCGGTTCTCTGACTGAGCATAGGTATTCTAATCAAACATCCATATGTCTGTATCATTACTTATTCCCTCCACTAAATTATTGGAAGTGTTCTATGTGAAACTCCAAATGGATGCTTTATAGAATTATATGCAATTTTTTGTTATTTGATTTGAAGTGATGATTTATTTATTTATGACATTTGAAATAGTAAGGGCATTACATGCTTAACGTTGAGTATGGATGGATTCAAGTTATTGGCTGGATCAGATGATGGTATGATCAGAGTCTGGGATACTAGAAACCATAACATCACTCGCATCTTTAGGCATGGAAAAGGTATCTTGATATCCCAAGGATTTTAGATTTCTCAAGCAACTACTTATTATTTAGATTTTACATGCAACTTGTTTAGTTGTTCTTTTGTTAATATCTAAATTTAATGCTCCTTGTTTCAAAGAAAAGTCTAAAGTGTTCACTTTTTTCCATTAGCTACTGTAAAAAGCTCCCCACAGTGCTTCTTTGTTAAATGAAAATGAGTTCTTGTTCGTTTTCAGTGCAAAATGAGCTTCATTGAGCTTCTGGTCAAAGAATATCAGTTTGAGCAGGTTTATTGTCACACTATATGTTCATTTTTTTTGTAGATAAGCTGTATTTAGCAGGAAGTTCTTGCTGCTTTTGCCTCTTCTCTTTTGTAGTATCTCTTAGTGATTTGTTTGTGACTGCGCAATTTTTGTAATGAAAACATCTCAGATACTTGTTTGAAGTTGTATACTGAACTCATAAGTAATAAATACTAATCAGTTAATAAAAAATAAGGATCTTGTGCTATTTGGTGATGGAAATAGCTAGTATGCTTCGAAAAATTATGCTTTTTAATTGTAAAAGATGTGCTTTTAAGGAAATCATCAATTATCAAACAGTGTCCCCGTCAGGGTTTGAGCCCTGAAACACTAGTAAGGTACCGGGATCGTAATGGCTGCCTAATCGCTCGATCCATCTTTTTGGCTGAATAGGGAAAAGTTGTGGCTCCGTGTGGCTTTGCTCCATACAAGTGACAGCAACTCAGCCAATCTTATTAGTAAATACGAGATGAATGATTGTTTAAGAATTTTGATACTCAACAAAATTGCAAAAGACAGAAGAACTTTTGTTTAAATTTGTGGCATTTGATATTGATTTGCATTGGCATCTTTGCATTAATATAATTGCTCAGTACTTCAATCACACAGTTTAATTTGAGCATCCATGCAGGAAATTTGTGATCATGAAATTCAAAATCTTGCTAGACTCTAAAAGTAATTCCAAGGCATTTGGAAGCCAGTCAAGCTGCATAGTTGTGACTGTTACAGTATACTATGAATACTGGAAATTTACAGAAATAATCATATTGCTTAGCTTAGTTGAGATTATAGTATCTTATAAATTACTTGATGTTTTTCTTCGAATATAAAGTGTTGGAGTTTGAACACAATTGGACCCATTAAGGTAAACTTAAGAACATTTGTACATTACCTAGTTATGCATGTACATTAAGCTAGGAAAAGAATTTATAAAAATGAAAACCCTAATGTGTAGGTTTACTTGAAAACTTAATTTCTTATAAAACATTTTATACAAGTTGATCCATCTTTTTGTAATTACACGGTGTTAGCTATACAATTTGTTTCACATTTCCTTATCATTTATTCTCTGAGTTATTAACACTAATATTTGTTTTTTTATTTGATAGGACCTATTAACAATATCCTTGTTATTAGACCCCCACCATATCTAACATCACAGAAATCTACCATGTCCCATTCATCTTCAACTAAGAGGACAGCATTCCCAGTGCCACCGCCACTTGAAAAGTTCCCCAGTTCTTCAGATGAAAATGGGGATGTGAAGGCATTCATTTACCCACAGTGTATCCTGAATACACATCTTGAATCATCATATGTCTGTTTCGAGACAATGAATAAACACATCAGAGAACTTGAGGTTGGTATTTTGGTTATTGAATTGTTCGGTTGTTCCTCACATGGTGCCTTTTGTCTTCTCATTCTACTTTTGACTTGCACATTGTAAAACTTGATGTTTCAGTGCCTGAATGATGTACTTACTGGTATAGGTTTACACATGATTCAAGGTGTCCGTGATTAGTCTGCCTTTTGGTTAACTTTTGTGCACATATTTTGAGTTTTTAACTCGTATCCGTGTTTTGTGGGCCGAAAACATATTTGGCTGTCAATCTATTTTTTTTATATTTTACTTTTAAGTTTTAATCCATATCATTCTAGTCCTTGCACGATGTTTTCCATCATTTTTGCCATCTAATATGAAACTTTGAGAATTATATCCGAGAATGCTTAAAACTGAATTGTTCTCATATCCTCCCTATACGAAAACAGCAACAGGGTTCTTCTGCAGCAAGTGAAATAGAGATAGAACGGTTAAAGATTGAGCATAAGAAATCCATGGAATTGCTTCAGCAATGGCAAAAAACATACCAAAATTTGCACCAGTTTTGTGTCTCTGAGCTGTTGAATAATGGGGAGGAGCAAATTGGAAATAATGGTGTTGATGGCCAAGGCATGTGAAGTGATTATCTTTCTGACAATGAACATGGGCCTTTTATTTTTAACTTCTATCTTAGATTCTTAGTTCCTGGTATACAGATCTTTGCTAAACGTTGAAATTATGATATAGGTATTTTTCAAATTTTAATTTCTTGGTCGTGCTTCTTAGGCACTCTTCTAATTTCATTCTACCTTTACATTCAATTTATTGGATCTTTTGAGTTACGTTTACGTTGTGTGCTAAACATTATCACATGAACGGACTTCTTGAAATTGTACCTTTTCCCCACTAAATAATGTCCCCTTCAATTTTTTGGTCTATTACTCGAAGTATTAATTACCATACAACGTCAAATATTAAAAACGATGTGAAATAATGTCGACGCAGTGTATTTAAGTAATATTTACTCAATAAAATTTACGGTACTAAGTATTCCCTGAAGTTTAAGAAAAAAATCCGATTTCCTCAAATATCTTGAGTCAGACGTAAACTTTTTTAAAGAAGAATGTGTTAGGTTGTTTTAATTGGATTGAAATTTTCTGATTAGATTAGATTTGATTTTATCTGACTTGTTTAAGTCTAGTTTGGTTTAAAAAATGTTTAGTTTGATTCAGAGTACTCATACTCTGAAGTCCGATCCAGGGATCATTGCCCTTTTTAATTGAGCCATTTTAATTAAGAAAGTGAAAGTTATAAGGTAGTCTTTAATATTGATTTTCTCTGATGGAATTGATGGAAATAATTGACCGTATTGTGCCTAGGAGTGGACTCGACCGGCCCGGAACCGGACCGGCCCGCTACTGTGCGGACCCGGCCCGGCCCGGTGAACCGGTTGGTGCCCGGTTCGGGCCACCTAGCCCGGTGAGGTAGGCGGGCCGGGCCTGGGCCTCCTAAATCGTGAACCGGCCTGGCCGGTTCGGGCTCGGTCCGGGTCAATTTTTTTCCTTTTTTTTGATTTTTTTTTAAGTTTTTGGGTTAGGCTGGGTATGATGGGCCATTTGAGGTGGTTTGGGGGTGAGGGGGGAGGGTTGGGGGTTAATAAAGCAAAAAAAAATATAAGAACCGAGGCCCGGCCCGGCCCGGACCTGAGGGTTACCCGGGCCGGTTCCGGGCCTCCCCTTGCATGAACCGAGGTCCGGCCGGGCCCAGGCCCGAACCGGTCCACCCCTAAGGCCCTAATTGTGCCGGACCATGAAGTAAAACATGACAATAACGTACGTAGTATAGCATAAAATTTGCACGTCAAGCTTAACAAGACTAATTCATGATAATTGAAGATGAGTATGATTAAGGGGTAGTTTGTTTTTTAGTGTTTTCAGACCTCACACGCTGCTCATTGCAGCGTTTTAGCTGTAAAAATATTAGCGTTTGGGTAAAAATTTGACAACCCCTAAATCTTAAAAACATTGGGAATTTATTACTTCGGAGCTTGATGACGAAATAAATACATATTCTATACCAAATTGGTTCACGAATAGCTTAATCCTTGTGAACTTGAAAGAGGATTTTAGATGAATTTCTTAAATCTATATCGTCATAGTTGGCGAACTATTTTTAACTGAATTGGAAAGTTTTGATAAGTTTTAGCATTCTATAATGAATTGATTAGATGTGTTGAGTTTATTTGTGTTCAACTCCTCGGACAAACCCCTATCAGTTCTACTTTGATTTGCGTAGATGTTATATATGCTCCTCTAGTGGTTCTTTTTTATCCCCTTGATCTCGACTCAGTGAAAGTACTGTAATTGAATCAAATTTGAATCGGGCGGATATCCAGCTAGATCAGTTGTCCAGATTTGTGAAACGAACAACTAGGTTTGGGACAAGTGACCCAGGATCGAGTCTCTCAAGCGACAATGTAGGAACATCTCAATGTTTGGGGGCTCTTTGTGTGCAACGTGCATTGCTCTAGCCTCTGTGCTAAACTGAGTTACCATGATTCACAAGCCTTCGTATTCTTTGTCAGGCTAGGACGGGAGGGACCCCTGAGGTTAGAGATTCAACCTTTTGAAACAAGATAAATGTCCAATTCAGTTCCTTCAAAATCCGACTGAAATTGACTAGTTTTTATTATTTCAAATTCAACAAAACTTGTGATTTTACATTTTCCCCTATTTTACGTGGACCTATCATGTCAGAACCCGAGTTGAAAAAGAACTAGCGCGGTTTCAATCCAACTCCTTTTATGAAAAATGTATTCTTAACTGACCATTTTTCCCTATTTTACTCCCATGTAAAGGTCATCACTTGTCTTTTATGAACGTCTCATCAAAAGGTTATCAATTCTATTTTACAAAATAATTAATATTCTTAACTGACCATTTAATGATTAAATATTAAAAATAATACACTTACAATATCATAGTTATCGTTAATGACCACACTATATTATATTCCGTTCGAAATCTCTTTTTAAAAACACTCAAAGTATGTTATTTTATTAATTGATTTTATAAATAACTATGTTATTTTGAATGAGAATTTTAAGTGAGAACCGAATACCAATGTAGTATTAAATTTTACGTGGTCTTTTAATCTTTTATCTCATCTACCATCTCCACACCCAAAAGTTTTGGACTCTTAGGCTTGAGTTGATATTTTGTACAACGCCTTTTATGCCAAAAAAAATAGTCAAGTGTTATTATAATATGGAGTGCATTGATGGCAAGTACAGCCCCCATAGACGTCTTCTTATTTTTGGTCTTCTTATTGCATTTCTATCACTAAATTGGGAAAAATAAAAATCATATATTCCTTTCCTTTTATAGAAAAGTGATAATGAGCGTACAGTGGAGTTTGAAGCCGACGAAACGGTTGGCTGAAGCCGTCTGTTTTGAGTTGGACTTGGCGTACACACTTTTAGTGTACACACTTTTTACACATGTCTGTGTAAGGTTTTTTTTATGTCTGTACAGACATAACGTATTTTAAAAATACGTTATGTCTGTACAGACATAAAAAAAACCTTACACAAACATGTGTAAAAAGTGTGTACACCAAAAGTATGTACCTTTAGAATTTTTCGTCTGTTTTATTGTGCCAATTTGCAATCCTGAAGTTTTGGAAAGAAAGAAATGACGAGTAGGACCTCTGTTTTTTGCATTATTATATTTTGGTAATGTCATTTCATAAAATGACTGTCACGTTATTTTCATACATTAATTTACATTTTAATGATTGCCAGATTCTACTTGCAATATCCCTCAGGTATAGTTGAGATGACATAATCTCTTTGACTTGGGTGTAGTTTTGTGGTCAGTAATACTCAAAAAAGAAGCCAGTAATCAGGATAGGGGACCAGATTTAATTAAATTAATGAATGAGGCAATTCAAAGTACACAGAGTCAAGCTTATATGCTAATAAACCGTTTCACTACATTTCGTTATTTCTTAGATGTTTAATTTTAGTTAGACTAGTTTAAGTATAGTTCATATCAGATTAAACTTACTTCCCAGGAAGAGGTACTTTTGAAACTTATTTCCTAACTAATAGTACTTGTAAACTTATTTCTAATAATAGTGTAGTTTCATCCTTGTCATGCTATTGTCATAATTGAACCCACGACAATGCAATTGGAATGCTAACCACAAACCACTAGACTAACAACCCCTTTTGTTACATGCTCCCCTTTACATCTATTTAATATACTTGGTACATAGATTTATTCAAGTCCATGACTATTAATTCAGCTCGTGAATTACTCGTTTCTTTGAAAATGTATATTACTTCTTCATAAAATAGTTAAAGAATATAATAAAAAATCTAAATTGAGAAATTCAATTAAAAATTCAAAAACCCTAAAAAATATAATAAGAAATTAATTTAATATAACTCAACACTAAATCAATTAAAAAATAAATAATTTGAGTTATGAAATTATTATTTTTAAATAGCTCAACACAATATTAAAAACAAATGACATGTGAGGGCTTAACATATCCTAATTCAAATAATTAATAAGAAACATGTAAAAGTTCATCTAAGATTATTTGTATGTACGAAGTATATTAAATACATGTAAAGGGGAGCATGTAATAAAAGGGGTTGTTAGTCTTATTGTTTGTGGTTAGCATTCCAATTGCATGGTCATGGGTTCAATACCCACTCATTTTTTTCCTTATTCTGAAGGTGACAACTCCAGTGTCTTTCTAAAAAAATGGAGTACTGTACCTATCATTCACTTGATTAGACTACATCACTTTATCATTTTTAATTTAGATTTAAATAATTCAACTGCTACATTTTCATTGGTCCATGTGGACAAAGGTATGGTACCTTATGGGTACCATAGAATCTACCTATTCTGAAACACACTCAAATAAAATTACATTGAATGACTAGTTCATGATGTGGCGAATTGCATTGCAGGTATGCTGACAAGGATGAAATTACCCTATTCTGAGAAATAAGTTTATGACTACCCTTAGTTGGGAAATAGTTTTTAGAACGACCAAAAAAGGAAAGTAAGAAGTATTTTTTGGGATGGAAGGAGTATAATAAAAGAACTTTGTTTTTTTGTGAGGAATAAAAGAACTTTGTGATTCTATGATTCTATCAATACTTTTTTGCACATAGACTAAAACAAATTCAGGGACTCGCATACATATGCACAATGGATATATAAATTAAAATTAGTGTACATAAAATATAACCCGAGACACCTGTAATATTGAGGTGGTAGCTAGATGATGAACACCTACGTGTTTATAAAAGGTTATTTATGTAATGATCATTACTCGTTTAAAAAAGGGTTTTTTCAGAAGGTACACTTGAAAAGGAAAAACTCCGTTATATTTTTTGAATCACACAAGGTAATGCATCAACTCTGTATATCGTAAAGGGGTTTAGAACGTTAAACATACTTCAAAGAGTATAGATTCAAAAATTTTGTCCTAGAGACCATATAAATGATCGTACGCTACGGCACATGAGTATGCTAGCTAATATACTAAGCTTTTCATGCAAAAATAAGCAAAAATGATAAACGTATATTTTTTACTGAACTTTCTAGTCTCTTATAGCATTTGTTGTTAAATGTTAACATCTTTGATTAAGATTAGTTCTGAACCTGTGATCTGCTCCATGAGAGTGTTAATTGTTGCCACCTAGAAACCATCACCCCACTGCATATTTAAATACGGAGTACTTAACTCTAAATACTACTTTTTAATCCGTTGTCACATACCAATATTTTACATTTGTTACAAAAACTATACTTTGTTATATTGTGTAACAGACTTAAATAAATAGAATGAGTCGTTACTATACACTAGTATACCTTTTCCAAAAGAATAGCCATGAACCTTTAACTAATTAGATATTTCCTCCCTTAAAAAAGTAATGATGTTTGACTGATGGTCCACCGAGGAGGTGCACTGGAAACATGTTGATACACACAATCATTTACTACGAATTAGTAGTTACTCTTTTCCTCCCCTCTAACTTTGTCTGGTTTTATTTTTTTCATACATTCTATTAAGTTTGTCACATACCATATTTGATAATATTTGGATGATTACAATTCATTCTTACTTTATTCACAGTTTATCAATTCAATATCAACCACACAATTCAACTTTTCCTTAAAAATCACACAAACACCTCTTTGTCCCAAACTTAGGGGCGAAGGTAGTACTCCCTCCGTCCCACTAACAATGAGACAAGAGGGAGTGACACACAAATTATTAAAAAGTGGTTTATGTGGTTGATATTGAATTGATAAAGTAAGAATAAAGTAAGAATTATTTAGAGTCACACAAACTTTACCAAATTTGGTATGAGACAATCTTAGTGGGACGAACCGATAAGGTAAAATGAGACAATCATAGCGGGACGGAGGTAGTATTTCTTATTCAGGGTAATGTATAGAGCTCACCTCTTTGAAGATATTGAGGTGGACTTGGTGAAACTTACCATTAATCCAGTGAAACAGGGATCATCTTAACATTAAAGCAATGAATGTAATAATTTAAATAAATAAATGCCGGTGGAATAAAAATGAGAATTTAAAAATAGGATGTGGGGTCACTGTGCTCTGTGGGGGAGAGAGGATAAGGTAATGCAAAAAAGATAATGTGAAGTAAATTTATATTTATTTCTTTTGGGGAGAAAAGAAAGAGCACCGCACTGAAGACCAAAATCTATCTATTTTGGCTTCTTTTTATCCAATGGAACCTCTGGTTGCAGAGAACATGTCGTCTCTTTAATCATGTCTCTTGCAATATTGCTTGATGATAATAAAAACAATAATAACAATAGTAATAATTGTATTGTCTTGGTATCCAGATTTTAATGCTCTGAAAGAGAAAGCAAAGGTTGGTACGTAACGCTGATATTAATCAATTTAATTATAATTTATAAATATAAATGCAGCTCTGATGGATTGATCATTGGTGTTGCAGCAGAAGGAAGCAACGGCAGGGATGAGATTATTGGATTCAGCTTACCTTCCAATCCCTACCAAACAACACACACCGCCATTACTTCCTTCATTTTTGTCCCGAAAAGGTTTGTCATATTATCTTTTCTTGGTCAACGATGACAAACTTTGAACAATGACAATATATTATAAATTTTATACTTTTATGAAAATATTCTCAAACTTATCTTATAAAAGTTAATTTGGTGAACTTTTTCGGGATGGAGAGAGTATTTAGTACTTCGCCCAAAAATCTTTATCATTTTGTTCATGATTTTGATAAGTAAGATATTATGAAAAATATAAATTTAATACTCTTATGAATGAAAGTTATAAATTTAATACGCTTATGTAAGTGTTTTTAACAAAAAAATATTTTTATATAACTTTTAATTATATTATAAATAGTTTCCATAAAAATATTATCGTATATAATTTGTCAAGGTTTTAATGATTAAAAAGTTTTTTGGGAGGCAAGTAGTATATTGTATGCTAGCAACTGTCCAAGACTCCAAGGAATTTACCGCTAATAATAGTCTATAACTGTCCAAGTTTTTCGGGAGTAGTATATTGTATGCTAGCATTACCTATATAACTATATTTCGGATTAATAATAGTCTCAAGTCTTAGGAATTTACTTTTTTAGGGGGAAAAATCATATATGAACAAAGAATATGTTGAATGATTTTACTTTTGCAATTATAAGCAAATAGGTTTGACACTGTTTTTAAGAGAATAAAGATCATTTTTATGCTCAGTATAACAATTGTAACATTGCAAGATCGAGTCTACATTTGTATATTGTAACAAATGGAATAAAGTATGAAAATATAAAATTGATGAAGTTGAAATTTAAAAAATGCTCATATTTTTACGATAAAGAAAAAAAGGAATGTAAATCTTATAAAATTTGACAAACAAAAAATAGCATATCACTGTGAATTAAGCCCTTTACACTTTGTACATTTGCACGAGTGTTTTTGAATCGTAAAATTTGTACTCACAATTTCGTTTTTCAATGTTGCTGTCCGTGGTGAGAGGTCAATGCAACTTGCAATTATAATATGAACCAATGAAGTTTACATTTGAGACAAAACTTGATATTCACACGATTAGTATATTATATTACATTGCTACCACGACTAACTTTTGGTATAGTTGTATTCTCAAAATTTAGAGGTGTTAAAGGGAAAATTTGATTTTGCGTCTCATTTATTGAGCCATATTCAACTTTATATTATATTTACAAAATCATTAATGTGTGGAGTGCCATTACATCATTCCAAAGTTGTGAGGGAGTGTGGTGTACAGTTAAATGACTGTGTACCGAAATAGAGTGCACATATTAAGAGAGAATAGTCCTAAATAGGACTAAATTAATGCATAAATGCACAGATAGCACTTCGTTATTTATCTTCTCCAAATAGGACTAGAGTATACTCTGTCTTCCTATTCTACACTTACCATAACTTAATAGGATGATCATATTTTAATTTATAATAAATAGAAAAAATAATAAAAAATAATCTAACTTATACAAAAAATAGTAAAAAATATAAAAAAATCTAAAATATTTTTAAAAAATACGAAAATTATAAAAACTAAAAACTTTAAAATAAATAAAAAATAGATAAAACACCTTAAAAAAAATGGAGGCCTTTCCCACAGCCTCGGCTACTGTCCACCAACTTTATCCCTGATCGGCTAAAAAATGTTATTTCGTGTAAAAACTGCCATTTTTTCTCTGAAATTGTCATGAAAATGACATTTGTACTCTTTAAAATGTCAAAACTTTTCTCCAAAGCTGCCATCATGATGACATTTCTAACACATGTAGGCATTTTTTTCGGGTGATCGTAGCTGCTGGTTACGGGAGGTTGCTGAGGCGGCAGTATAGGCCTGCATATTTTTTTTATATATTTTTACATTATTTATTTATTTTTATTTTTATTTTTTTAAGTTTTTTATTTTATAAATTTTTAATATTCTATTTTTTTATTTTGAATAATTTTAAATATTTTTTATTTCATGTTTTTCATTTTTATTATAAATAAAGTTATGTTTATTACTTTATACTTTAATTACTAATGAAATATGAAATATGAAAAACAAAGAAAGGGTAGAATCGGAAAGGTAGTCCTATTTAGGGAATTTTTAAGTTATGGTCCTATTTTGACAATTAAAGTTTCATTTTCCTATTGTGGGAATTCTCCCACATATTAATGGTACTACCTCCGTCCCAAGAATAATGGACCCTTGCAAGCAGTGGTAGGCTCGTTGAGTTTGCATTTTAATATTGTTATTGTTCCCTTTGTTTTTAATTTTGGAAACGTTGTAGTTTGGGTGTGTTATGCTTATTAGGTGGGTAGGTGTTTTATGTTAAGAAGTAAGATGGTTTCAAAAGCCGATATAATTTTCAAATTTTTCAGATGGTTAGTGACTCGATCCGCTCTAATTAGGGTGGTCATTTCTATGTCTAATCTGATGGTGAGGGGACATTTGGGTTATGGTGAGTTTGGTAGCAGGAAGTTGTTCAGTATTCAGAATTTTGTAATGTCGTTGGTTTTTGGATTCTAATATAATCCAAGAACCATACTTAGTACTTGTGTCAATGTGGCCGGAGCCGGTTGACGGCGGCAGAAGTGTCATTCGGAGATGTCACTGTGACCCGAGTTGTGGCATATATGTCACTGTGGCGGTGCAATGGTGGCTGGCAGCGATCACTGGTCGGAGTTAGTAGTGGATGTCAACGTGTTTGTTTCACTTTGGCCACAATTTCGGGCAAAGATGTCACTGTGGAGTTGTCACTGTGACCGGTGGCGGCGGCAATGACACGAGCGATGGCAACGACGGTGACACGGGCGATGTCGGTGGCAATGACACGGACGATGGCAGCAGGAGTGACACGGACGAATGCAACAACAATGACATTCTACTCGGGTAAAGTGATCTAAACTACCTCGAAATGCGTTCCACGGCTGATCTACCCCTCCTACCATTCCTTCCGCACGATCATCATCCACACCGTGGAACGTCAAACATGTGATCGCTCCCATCGAATGGCAAACGGCGCATATATGTGTGCATATCCCAATAGAGTAATTCAATTCCTTATCAGCCCGCAGGCTTTTCTTACTTCCCTTTTGTGCAGCGATCCAATAATCTCATTAAACTTTCCACCTTTCTTCTTCCCTTCCCATTCAACCTCTTCTTACCCATCCCTATCTTCAGCTTTTCTATACATACATCTCTTTCATCTCATAATATATAATCAAAGTCCTTCTTTTTTTCAAGTTCCGAAAGTTTTCATAACACTAAAAAAATTGGGAGAGAATTAAGTTACTCTCAGCTTCAGTTCATACGTAATCCTCCCCTTCTGTAGTCTGTACAGTGTGTATATATGGATATTGAGCTCTTGAAGTCAGCTTCCGAAGACCAACTAGATATGATGCTTATGATGCAGGCCGACAAACTTCCCCCGGAATTCTACTCCGCCGCCGCCGCTGCTTACGACGACGACCCCAACGAAATGCATATGATGATGATGAACTTCAGCCCACACCATTTCTTGGACCGTCATAGTAACATGCATCCGGCCTCCACCATATCCTTCTCCGGCGGCGGCGCCTCCCCCGATCACTTCATTCACCATCATGAATGGCGGAACCCCGGGGACTACACGGGGGCGCCGAAACAGACGGGGACGTCGATGGCGGCGATGCGGGAGATGATATTCCGCATTGCGGCGATGCAGCCCATCCACATTGACCCCGAGTCCGTGAAGCCGCCGAAGAGAAGGAACGTGAAGATATCGACCGACCCGCAGAGCGTGGCGGCACGTCACCGGCGGGAAAGGATCAGCGAGAGGATACGGATTCTGCAGCGACTGGTGCCTGGTGGGACCAAGATGGACACGGCTTCCATGTTGGACGAAGCAATACATTATGTGAAGTTCTTGAAGAATCAGGTGCAGTCCTTGGAACGCGCTGCCGGCGGCGGCGGCGGCCAGTCAAATAGGTCAACTCCGACTGAGGCGGGGTTTCCGGGGACCATGTCGTGTTCTTCAAATTCCATGACTGCCAATTATTTTCCCATCACCTCTAATAACGATAATGTCCATTATCAGCATTATGACTCTCAGTTGACTTGATTAATTGTGTTGGAGACCGTACCGACCAGAGTCAGATCGATAGAGAGATCAAGGTGGAGAGAACTTCAAGTTCTCAATGAGCATGATTAATTAAATAAATGCTTGCTCGGATCCGATCAAACATATATTTAGTCTAAAATTTATGAAAAAGAAGAAATTAAAGATTACCATGCATGCATGTTGTATATTATAATTATTGTTATGCATGTTTTTACTCCATCCCTATGATGGTAGTAACTTCATATTTTGTTCTAGCTAGCTAGCTAATAATTAAATACCATGAATATATGAAAAATATTTAACAAGAATAAAATTGTGGATGATAAATGGTTTTACTTTAAGAAAATGCGAGAAAAGGTTTGTGAATTCCGATATACTATCTTCATTCTTTTTTTATTGCAACGGTCCACTTCTCACGCTTGACAACACACAAGTTTGACGATTAATATCTTTTATTCCTTATTAGTAAAAAATTAATAAAAATTAGATTTTGAAAATTTAAAATGAGAGGAATTTAATATAACGTAGATAATTTGCCAAATAAAGAAAGTAAGAAAGTGTGAACTTAATTGAGGGATGAAAATAATATTAAAAAGAGAAGTATGATTTTTTGTGTTTTTATTGTTTAACAAGAAGTAACTTCAAACATGTTGTGACACTACTAAAATCCGCTTTATTACTTTTTAACATGTGGTGACCGACCGCACTAGTACTTTATTAAAAATCATACTGCCTCCGTCCCAATTTACTTAGCCAAATTTGACTTTTCAAGTCAACGACATCTAACTTTGACCGATTATATGTTTATATAGAGAAATATTGATAATATGAAAATGATACGAAAATGTTCTTTGTTAAAAACACTAACATAAAAGTATAAAATTATTAAATTTTGCATAAATATATTAGTTAAAATAATTGGTCAAAGTTAGACGCCGTTGACTTGAAAAGTCAAGTTTGGCTAAGTAAATTTTGCATAAGTATTTGTAACTATATATGCACTTCACTTATAAAAAATGTATGCACTACACTTGGAACAACTAAATATTGAATAATGATCGTTTTTATATAACCATTGTAACATTGTAAAAGACCGTCTACCTATCCTAACAGTGGGAATAAAGTATGAGAATATAAAGTTCGTGAAGTTGATATTTAAAAACTGTCCACATTTTTACAAGTTATCCCAAAATAATGTTAAATAAAAAAATATTTATCAAAGTAATATTTGGTTAAAAGTAATTCTTAAAATGCTGCTTGGTAAACTCTAGCTAACAAAATCGCCAATTGAGTTGACAAATAATTCCTTGTACCTAGGATAAAGAGTAGAGGAGGCAGTTGTGCGACCCTCCAAAATAAAAATTGTTAAGATCTGAGATTTCATTCTAAAAGGTCAACTTTAATAAAACATTCCGGTGTGAGACAAATATTTCAACAAAACATCCTTGTTTTGTTCTCTTATTGTTATAAAAAGTATATCAAAATTCATAAATTCTTATTATCTCACACAAATATGACATATATTAATTAAAAATTAATTATTGTGTTGCACTTGTAATTCCCTAATTATTTTCAGGGACAAGCTAGAATGGAAGAAGTACTCTCGGGCTAGATTGCAAAACCCGTTTCTTTTATTTATTTTTTGAATGCCCTAAGTAATTCTGCTGGTGCATGAACGGATTTTCTTACAACTATACATATAGGTATATACTATCGGCTCTATATGTTTGAGTGGCCGGAACACTGAATCAATCTAACATTCCCTTCATTTTGCCATTATTCTTTAGTGCGCGCCCCACCCACATGGTAGGAGTCAGACGGCTTTCCGGGCCATGGCCCGACCCGCTTGGCCTTTCTAAGTTCCCCTAACCCATTACGATATTTATTTGAGAAGTAAATATATATTGTATTATTATAAGATTATTGTTGCATATATGTCACTTGTCTGTGTCGTCTCATTTGTTAACCACGTAGAATGGGTACAATATAATTTATTCATTTTAGAAACTTCATTGCAAAGCCCATCAACTTATTATATTTTCATGATGAAAAGTTACGCTGATTAACAATAGAATTCTTTCGATTTTTTTTTTTACATCAGTGAAAAAATGGGTATCTAAAGAAGAAATTATAAATCAAAACGGTAAACAAATAAAGAATTTGCATTTTATTGCAACGTCAAACTCATATTAGTCGCCAATGCAACGTATTTAAAAAACCCTGTAGAAGATACTGAAATTTTTAGAAAGTTATAAGATTGATCCGGGTGAAACGGTATATCTAGATATTCCTGTTATTTTTGGAATTATTTTTGAAATTATTTTTTGTTATTTTTGTTCTTGTTATTTTGATATACTTGTTATTTTTTACTTTGTCTATAATTACTATTAAATTTACTATAATTACTTTTAAATTTACTATGTTTTAAATACATTACTCTCTTCGTCACAAAATGATTCGTCACAAAATGATTTGCGAAGTTATTTTTTTATAAACACAGTTTCATTTATTTGCTTATTTACCAAATTAATTTCTTTATGTCTATATATGTGTGTGTGTCTATATATATATATATATATATATATATATGTATGTATGTATGTTTTGATTCAAATAAGAACATGATCTTAATTAGGAGAGAAATGAGAATCAATCTGGACCGTTAGATTTGCTTTAAGTGAAATTCAACGTGCATTAGATGAAACTGTAATGTGCATTAGGTGAAATTGAAATGTGCAACACAAATGGTACGATACAGTGACATTATGTGAAGTTGAATTGTGCATTGGGTGAAATGGAAATGTGCAATAGGTGAAACTGAAATATGCAGTGAAAAATGTGCAATAGGTGCCAATAAACTGATATTATTCTGCACATTTCAGTTTCACCTAATGCACACTTGGGTTTAAATTTTTATTCTGCACATTACAATATATCTCATGCACATTTCAGTTTCACCAAACGCACAATGAGTTCCACATAATACAATCCAACGGTCCAGATTCGTTCTCATTTCTCTCTTGGGAAATCGTTCTTACCGGAACCGCTCCCTATATATATATATATATATATATATATATATATATATATATATATATATATATGGAAGAGTTCAGATGAAAAGTGGTCTTCCCGTGCAAAGTGCAAAGTTTTCACATTTTCATGTTACGTTTGCACTTTTTCTTGTTTGCGTTGCACTTTTTGGCCATTTTGATTTTGGCCAAATTCGGCCAAAATGACGGTGACAGTTTTGTAAATAAACCAAATTTTTTGAGCTCCTGCGAAAAAGTGCAACGAAAGCAAGAAAAAGTGCAAGCGAAAAATGAAAAAGTGCAAACTTTACACTTTGCACGTTTATACCACTTTTTATTTGAACCATCCCCTATATAATATATATATATATATATATATACATACATACATATATATATTTATAGATAAGAGATCAAATACAAACCATGCTTAAAATACTAACCTACAAACTCTATAATATGCACCACTTTGAACTTCAATATGCAGTAAAAATAATGTAAAGATGCAGGGGTGAGATCACATACAAACTAGTCCTCCCATCCGAATCATCTTTACATTATTTGTATTGCACATTGAAGTTCAAAGTGTTTCATATTATTCAAGCCATAAAATAGCAGTTTCATATTTACATTATTTGTATTGCATATTGCAATTCAAAGAGTTCATCTTTACATTATTTATACTGCATATTGAAGTTCAAAGTGTTGCATATTATTGAGTTTGTAGGTTAGTAAGTTAAGCATGGTTTGTATGTGATCTCACCCCTATATATATATATATATATATATATATATATATATATATATATATATATATATATATATATATATAAATAACGAACAATGTACTATACATAACATTTAATGTAGTTTACAAGAGTATAAATTTTAATTACTCAAACTGATTTAATTGTTCACAGGAATGACTCGTGAAATTAAGAATTTGACATTAATTATTATCCGCGAGGATGGTCTTATGGAACTTGGTTCTATTCATTAATTATTTGTGAAGATGGAAAGGGGCTGGTACGGTTTGAAGTTAGCGCGACATGTTAACAAATTGAAGTTGGTAGATCGAAACCATTTATTTCATATTGGTGGGGAGCACATTTTAATTTCATTGAAGATAGACCTATTTAGTGTCACCTATACAATATAGTGTACAAATAAAGCAAGTAATTGTATTTTCTTTTATTAAACTTAGAGAAAGAATATATATGGTAAATTCTTTTTGAAGGATTCATTAAGCCAATAAAACACATCAATGATATGATCACAATTGAATGAACAATTTTCACTTTCTTTCTAATTAAGAGTTTTTGAAATTTCAGTTGTAATATATTTTTTGGGAGAACTATCGAATAAACCCTCAGATTTTCATAAAAGGGACAAATAAGCCCTTTTACAGGAGACTTTGTCCGGCTGTCGCCATTTGGAGCGGTTTCGGGTGGAATTTTTCGATCAATTTTTTTGAGCATCTTCTTCATTAAGTCTTGTTTACTCATACCAAATTTCAGCTAAAAATTCAATCGGGAAGACAGTCAGATGAATTTTTAAAGATAACTGCGCAGTTAGACAACACAGTATATTTCAGAAAATTATTTAACTACCTTCTCGATTGAATTTTCAGCTGAAATTTATTATGGGTAAACTAGACTTAATTAAGAAGCCGCTCAAAAAAAATCATCAAAAAGTTTATCTGGAAACCGTCCCAAATAGCGACATCCGAACAAAGCAGGACTAATTTGCACTTTTTATGAAAGTTCGAGGGCATATGATCGTTCTGTAACAAATATCTATACAGTCAGACAATTGACAACAAAATTGTGCAGATTCATAACATACTCTCCTATAAACAACGGTTGTTCTTTTCACGGTATTTATTTATTTATTTATTTATTCATGAAATAATTAATTAATTAATTTGTTTATTTATTTATACGGAGGCCTCAAGTCCAACTAGCTAGCTGAGCTACTCCCCAAAATTTTAATTTGAAAAATTATCACATATCTGACACAATATAACTCGTTTTCCATTATTAGCAAGTGACACTTGCTGCACATTTACGCCGTTCATTATTATTCGTATTTTAATTGGAGTACCTCGCTAGATACGTACTCCATTTATTATTAAATACGAGTACATATTATTACTGCTTAATTTATTAGAAAACTGACGTTTGGCGTTTAGGCAAATAAACATTTTTATGATTACCATCCATATGCAGTCATCAAATCGCTAACATTGAAGCTGGATTCGTATATCATACATCCAACGTACGGTGAACACTGTACAGTCGGTCCAACAAGAAACAAATTA